CCTCGCCGCCCAGGGCGCCGGGCCATTGGAGAGGTGCGTTGTCCGTCCCGCGCCGCCACCGCCCAGCGAACCTCCAGCGCCGCCGAGGGCTGGGGCGGTGAGAGCGGCGCGGCGCTGGTGCTGGCGGGCTTCGCCGAGACTCCGGGTGGACGCGGCCGGCGCCGGCTTGTGGGCTCGCCGCCTGCAGCCATGACCCTCGCAGTCCGCTCCTCGGCTGCGGCCCGGGCCGTCTAATATCCCACACAGGCGCGCGCAGCTGTTGGAGAGCCGGCCGCCCTTCCCTCGTCGCCCTTGGCGCCTTATCACACTCCCTGTCCCGGAGCTGGGAGCAGCGCGGGCAAGCCGGCGCCCCCGTGCAAACTGGGGGTGTCTGCTGGAGCCGCCCCCGCCGCCGCCGCTGCTGCCCCGGGCTCTGGCCATGGCCTGGCGGGGCGCAGGGCCGAGCGCCCCGGGGGCGCCCAGGGGCGCCGGACTCCGTCTAGGGCTGCTGCTGCAGTTGCTCCTGCTCCTGGGGCCGGCGCGGGGTTTCGGAGACGAGGAGGAACGGCGCTGCGACCCCATCCGCATTTCCATGTGCCAGAACCTTGGCTACAACGTGACCAAGATGCCCAACCTGGTGGGGCACGAGCTGCAGACGGACGCCGAACTGCAGCTGACAACTTTCACGCCGCTCATCCAGTACGGCTGTTCCAGCCAGCTGCAGGTGGGCACCCCACCCCCACTCCTGGCGGGACCCCTTGGGCAGGGACGGCCCCCAAAATCACTTCGTGGAGCCCTTGCCAGCTGCGGCCCCTTGCCCCCTTCCTTCCCTGGCCCGAGGGGTGCAGCTCTCCTGGAAAAGTGATTTCCATCCCCACCCCCACTTTTCTGTCCCTTCTCTGAGACTGGAAGCCAAAAAGTTGTGTAAGTCATCTGGCCTGTGAAAAGAACCCTCTCTTACACCCCACCCTTCCGTTCTTCTCCCCTGCCCACCCATGTCTGGCCAAGCCCCTAACCCCAGTGGAGCTAAGGATTATCTTTGCCAAGGATTCCAGCCGCCGCTGCTCGGTGGGCGAGTCCCCAGCAGGGCCGCCAGCTGCTGCTAACTAAGACTTGGAAGGAGAGATAGGAGACTGGATCTTCTCCCCTCCCGTCCCTCACCGACGGCCTGTCTCCCCCATGTTTTGGGGGGTGGGTTGTTCAGTGAAACACTACCGCGCGGTCTTCTGTGAAACCCCTTCCTCCCGCCCTCCCACGCGGTGCCGGAGGTCACGCAGGAAGGAACGGTAGGGTTGGCTTGAGTTCTTATTCTCCGGGTTGGAGGCAGGTTTCGTGCTTGGAGGGAAAGTAAAAGTTATAGAAAAGCAGTTTCTATGTTGGAAGAATTTTTTTTGGCAGTCATTAAAAATCTTAAAGCTTATGTAATGATCAAGAAAATGTTCATCTTACAATAGTAATTGTAGGAAGAATTTGCATATACAAGGTGATTATAATCTTGCAAAAACAAACACTAAAATAACATCCAATTCCTGGTGGGGAGGGGCCCGGGGAGACAGCAAGATAAATTTTAGAAGTGTTAACATTGGTTGTGTTTTGGTTGGTGAGGCTGAGTGATTTTTAGAAATTTAGAACAGAGAGCCATTGCGGGGGTTGGGGTGGGGGGGTGTTAGTTGCCCAGGCTAGAAATCTGTGGTTCTGGCTGTAACTTCTGAGAGATAAGAAACAGACATGCAGCTTACTTACCAGGTGCCTGCTTTTACATAGGTCATTTTAAAAGTTGGGTTGTGGTTTTGGAAAGATGGGGTTGGGATTAGACCTGTTGCTGGTGAAATGTCCCTTTGGAAGTTTCAGGACTTTAGAATTGGGTTATAAAAGCTTAAAAAATGATCCTCTAGCTCTCAGTTTGGAAACAGGACATATCCTGACATCAGTGGCAATTTTGTTGGAGAAACACTTTTGCAGGGATATATATTTTTAATTACATGTATCCTGGGGAAGCAGCCAAGCTGTTTTGAAGGACAGGATTGGATCCCTTTACATGCTGGAAAATAGTTACTTGTAATTCTAGACTTCATAGACAACATCTGTAAGGAGCCAAGCAGACTGTTTATCAATGCTGGAGGAATTGAGGACAGCAACTGGACTCTCCCCTGCTGGTATTGCAGTTTCAGGGACTTAACATTTATATTTTCCTATTGTGCTTCATTATTATTCATTGAGGAAACCTGGCCAAATAAACCCCTGGTGACCAGAGACCTCAGTCTGCATCTCATCCTTGAGCCTAACAGTGTCTCAATGGGGACTTTTCCTATCTCATTGTGAGACTGATTAAAAGAATAATTTTAAGGGATAAAGGAAAGAAAAGGGAATGTTAATGGAATTTGTGTATGTGTGTTTTTTTTCCACATTTATTTTTATGGCGATAAAGAAATGGAGATTAAAAAGATACCACCCGATCACCTAAAGCACTGGGCCATTGGATTAGCCTCTTCAGCTCTTTCAAATAGAATCTGAAAAGGGAGGGAGATTGAAAGTCAGTTTTTAAAGGTTTATTTCTTTAAGTGTTATGCAAAAAGGGATTATGTAATTCTCCTCATTTATTTATTTATGTTCCTTTGGAAAGGATTATTAGAGCCCAACTGAGAAACCTGTGTAAGTGCTGGATTATGAGGTGCCCTTGTTTGAGGTCAGAGCAAACAGACAGTCTCCCTGTAGGCTGGTTCCAAAGTAGATATGTACATTGCCTGGAAGCACTCGGCTCAGCTCTGTACAGGCATTTGGTCAGACTTCCAAGTCATTGTTTTCTTTGTTCATTTCATGACTTTTCCAGTTCTTCCTTTGTTCGGTTTATGTGCCAATGTGCACAGAGAAGATCAACATCCCCATCGGCCCGTGCGGCGGCATGTGTCTTTCAGTCAAGAGACGCTGTGAGCCCGTCCTGAAGGAATTTGGATTTGCCTGGCCGGAGAGCCTGAACTGCAGTAAATTCCCACCACAGAACGACCACAACCACATGTGCATGGAAGGGCCAGGTGATGAAGAGGTGCCCTTACCACACAAAACCCCCGTGCAGCCTGGGGAAGAGTGTCACTCCGTGGGAAGCAATTCAGATCAGTACATCTGGGTGAAAAGGAGCCTGAACTGCGTCCTCAAGTGTGGCTATGACGCCGGCTTGTACAGCCGCTCGGCCAAGGAGTTCACCGACATCTGGATGGCCGTGTGGGCCAGCCTGTGCTTCATCTCCACTGCCTTCACGGTGCTGACCTTCCTCATCGACTCGTCCAGGTTTTCCTACCCTGAGCGCCCCATCATATTTCTCAGTATGTGCTATAATATTTATAGCATTGCTTATATTGTCAGGCTGACTGTAGGCCGGGAAAGGATATCCTGCGATTTTGAAGAGGCAGCAGAACCCGTTCTCATCCAAGAAGGACTTAAGAACACAGGATGTGCAATAATTTTCTTGCTGATGTACTTTTTTGGAATGGCCAGCTCCATCTGGTGGGTTATTCTGACACTCACTTGGTTTTTGGCAGCCGGACTCAAATGGGGTCATGAAGCCATTGAAATGCACAGCTCTTATTTCCATATTGCAGCCTGGGCTATTCCTGCAGTGAAAACCATTGTCATCTTGATTATGAGACTGGTGGATGCGGATGAGCTGACGGGCCTGTGCTATGTTGGGAACCAAAACCTCGATGCCCTCACTGGCTTCGTGGTGGCTCCCCTCTTCACTTACTTGGTGATCGGGACCTTGTTCATTGCAGCAGGTTTGGTGGCTTTGTTCAAGATTCGGTCAAATCTTCAAAAGGATGGGACAAAGACAGACAAGTTAGAAAGGCTGATGGTCAAGATTGGGGTCTTCTCAGTACTGTATACGGTTCCTGCAACCTGTGTAATTGCCTGTTATTTCTATGAAATTTCTAACTGGGCGCTCTTCCGGTATTCTGCAGATGATTCCAATATGGCGGTAGAGATGTTGAAAATTTTTATGTCTTTGCTGGTGGGCATCACTTCGGGCATGTGGATTTGGTCTGCCAAAACTCTTCACACGTGGCAGAGGTGCTCCAACAGATTGGTGAATTCTGGGAAGGTAAAGAGAGAGAAGAGAGGGAATGGTTGGGTGAAACCTGGGAAAGGCAATGAAACTGTGGTTTAAGGCCAGCCAGCCTCCACGCTTTCCTCATTTGGAATGGGGGAATGCCAGCGTTTCAGTGGTGATGCTACTAAAAGTTTTATGCAGTGAATCCAGCAACATTTAAGGCCCCCCCCCCAATCTACCGTCTCTACCGACCATGCCACCAACATAAAACCAGTCATTTTGCTGCAGACTTTGGAATGATCCAAAATGGAAAAGCCAGTTAGAGGCTTTCAAAGCTGTGAAAAATCAGAATGTTGATCACTTTAGCAGGTCACAGCTCGGAGTGTGGAGGTCCTGCCTAGATTCCAGGAAGTCCAGGGCAATGCTGTTTTCCCCTACAGGGTGGGATTTGAGCTGTGAGTTGGTAACTTGCAGGGAGACAGATTAATTTCTTTTAACCCTTTTAAATTTTAAATACTAACTGGGTCTTTCAGATAGCAAAGTGATCTATAAACACTGGAAAGGCTGGGTTCAGAGAAGTGTTATAAGAGTTTTATAGTTTGGCTGATCTAACATAAACATCTTCTGTGGTGCACTGCCTGCTGTTTGGAACTTGGTGGATTGCACTCCCAAGAGGTGGTGTCAAAATCTTTCAGTGCCTTTGTCATAAAACAGAATTGTTTGAACAAACAACAGTCCTGTATTAACACACATGAGGTATCCACAGGATTTTTCTTCTCTCTCTTCCTCTCTTAAATTTCACCGTCTCTGTTCTAGGCTGCTGCTGTTTTCTTCGTTGTACACTAATGACTCAAAAAAGGTATTTTTATAGGAATTTTTGCACTGCAGCATGCCTAATGAAGGGAAGGGAAGGGTGATTCACTTTCTGACAATCACTTAATTCAGAGGAAAATGAGATTTTACTAAGTTGACTTACCTTACCGACCCTGGAGACCTATTGCATTGAGCAATGGGGACTTAATATATTTTACTTTGTGTGATTGCATCTATGCAGACGCCAGTCTGGAAGAGCTGAAATGTTAAGTTTCTTGGCAACTTTGCATTCACACAGATTAACTGTGTAATTTGTGTGTGTCAATTACAATTAAAAGCACATTCTTGGACCATGACATAGTATACTCAACTGACTTTAAAACTATGGTCAACTTGCATTCTCAGAATGATAGTGCCTTGTTTCCTTTAGCGTAAGAATGTTATCAGAGCCTGGTCTACTTACCACAATGGAGTCTTATTCAGTTTTGTAAAGAGAGCTAAGGACAGCTAATCCAACTACTTGGTGCATAATTGTTTCCTAGTAATTGGCAAAGGCTCCTTATAAGATTTCATTGGAGGCAGTGTGGCCTGCAGTATTTATATGGTGCTTAATGAATCTCCAGAATGCCAGCCAGGAGCTTGATTGGTTAGCAGGGAATAAAGTGTAGACCATATGAAATGAACTGCAAACTCTAACAGCACAGGTCTTAATTGCCTTTTGCAAAGGTATCCAAAGCTTTTAAAATTTATGCTTTACCGTTCCTCACAAGGGGGTACCCCCCAGCAGCCTCTCAAAAGTTGCACTTCTTTTAAAATTGTAACTGGCCTTTCTCTCTTAACCAGCCTTAGGCTTTCTAATCACCAAATCTCTGGGACAAATTGTTGACATTGTCACAGGTTGCTCTCCTTGTAACTTATACCTGTCTTTGCTTTAGCAACTGTTCTGCAATGACTCATTATTTATTAATTCCTGCCTTTATTTTTTTTTCAAATAGGTAAGAAAGCTTTTTTTTTTTAAATCACACTTCTTTATGGAGAAACATTTCCAGGGACTCAAAATTCCCAAATCTGGAAATAAACGTGTCTTTCTTTTTTCTTTTTTGGTTTGAATGTTATGCCCATGGTTTGACATTTTCCTTCCTTCTTTCTTCTGTGTTTGTGTGGTTCCTGAATCAACATGCATATATGGTTCATTGAGTGTTTTGGAAGGGAGACTCTTGGGGCTTTGAAGACAGAACTAAGTGGGTCAGATGGTCCTGGTGCTCCATGGCAGCCTGAGTACCTTGACTGGACTCAGCGTCAAGGCCCTGGAGCATGAGAACGGGTCTCCAAAAGAACCAGTTTCACTTCATCGGGGCCTGCGTTGCTTACGAAATGTAAAATGTGCTGTCTTCCAACATTTCCCATAGCTATGCAGGGCTCTAAGCATGCACCCAGGGGCGGAGCCTGCCCTTACTCACGCTCTACTCTGGTGTTTTGGGAGTTGCTCCAGGAAGGGAAGGGACTGGCCTTGCAGTTGGACTGTAAGAGTTTGTAATGCTTCAGTAACTGTGTGACCAAGGCAGTACCTAGCAGAGGGCTGGGCATGGAGTAGGTGCTCAATATTTGTCAATGATTAAATCATAATAATAACAATGAAAGAGCACTTGAGTCTTACTTACCTGAGCTAGTACTAACCAGAGCTAGTGCTCTGACAACTTTTGGGGCTTGCCATGTCTGTCCCGCAAACCTCTTGCCTTCTCAGGAGAAGATGTATTTGCTCAGAAGGGGCTGTTGGTACAGACTGGATCATATCAGCTTTAGCAATGCCACGGGGTTATAGGACTTTCTGTTCACATTCCAGACAATGGAGAGTGTTTGGTTTCAGGAAAGGAACTTGTGTCTGAGGAATCAGTTGCCAATGACCTTCAAGCGACTCCATCACCTCTTAGAATTTTTTTTTTAAGTGAAGCATCAGCAGCACGTGTATGGAGTGCCAGCTGTGTGTAAAGCCCCATGAAGGGATGTTATGAGAGATAAACCCTGTTCTTCTAGCTGGTCTAGGGTAGGTAATACCTGAGTCTGCTGAACTTTGCTGTTGGTTTTGTGACGGAGCAGAGCTTCCTCAAATTCCCGTCTGTTTCATTGCCTCCATTTCATGAACCTCTTCCCAGGTTTCTGTCTTTAAGACATTTCTCACCCCTTCCCAGAATGCCTTCAAATCAATTACAGGAGTTTTTACAGAATGCACACGGTCTGTTTCGTGACAATCTCTGGAGAAATTCCCTAGGAAGATGATGAGAACAGACTGTAAGGACACAAGCGCCTGCATCTTCTGCCTCTTTGGGGACAAGGCAGTTCAGGGCTTGGGATGTTCCATGCGACTTGTGTTAAGTGTATTGGAGGACAGACAGCATCTTGCTAGAGAAAAGGCGAGGGTGGTTTTTCTGAAATCTAGGTAAGTAGTACGATTGAAGCTTTCTATAAAAATCCCTTAGCCCCCAGAGATTTTTATGAACCAGGGCCCGAGGGCATCTCTGTCCAACTTTCTTTCTGGCAGGCTCTTTGCTCCTGCTTCCTAAAGGCCAAACCTCAGGGCAGAGGAACAAGAGGCAGGGTGGAACTGGCCAGAACCATCTGGTTGAGCGACTTGGTTGATTCATATCCTTTTTCCTTTATGGAGGCCCATTTCCTGATCTCTGAGACTGCCTCTGAGCTGGCAGCTTGCTCAGAGGCCTGAAATCGGAGAAGCAATGACACTTTTTACTTCCTTGAGACACTCAGACTTGACTTTCCTGCGTCACTCACCTGTACTGCCCAAACCCAGAATCTGGGGAGCTTCTGCCTTCTATTCTGAATTGTGATTCTATCCAGCACCTTCCACTCTGCCCTCCCAGGTCACCCTCAGCTCCTGCTCATGGCATTCAGTGCTCCTTGTGTTGGGACCCAGGCTGGGGCTTCAGGACATAGTGATGAATCTGGCAACCTCAGCCCAGGAGGTACAGATTTGGTGTAAGGGATTTCAGCAGGACAGTGCAGCCTTTGGCTCTGGTGAGGTAGCCAGAGCAGCAGTTAGGAAAGGGAGTCCTAGAGCACAGACTCTGGAAGGAACCTCTTCATCTCTGCCTACCCTGAACATCATTCTCTGATGGGGGGCCTTGGAGAGGGTTGTTATTCCAGCTAATCATGTGGAGTCACTGGACTCTTGACAATTAATTGTGTTCCTTTATTATATTTGGGTTCAGAGTCCCTGTCTGAGTTTGCATTATATTTGGCAAAGGACCTGGGTTATCATTTTGTACTCCAGGGCTAGGTCACAGATCTTGGAAACTCCTCAGAGTATTTTGCTCCTATCAAGGATCAGATTCTAGAGCTTTCACTAATGGATTTAGTTTCACTGTAGCTGGATAGATCTCTGTTGCTGCCTGTTGCCATGTGCATGTGCAGTAACGGCACACTTAGCAACATCAGGAGCGAGGTGACTTGTGGATCCCCCTGACTGGCCTCTTCCCCTTGGTAAGCCCAGTTGCCCTGACAGTAGCCTGTTTCTGTTCCAGATTTGCCTTTTCTGTCTTCTTTGCATCAGCAAGTCCCCAGTACTCACCCAGGTGATTTGTAGAGGACCTGTTTGCGTCTTATATGAGCCATGTCCTTAAAGCGTCTGTATCTCCTTGATCTCCTGCAATATTCAGTACATGACCACCGTCATCCCAGAAGGCTTCTGAAAAGAGGGGCAGGAGCAGCCCTGCCCGCACGAAAGTCAGTCCGGCTTCTCCCCCAGGTGGGGAAAGTTTCCAAATCGTGCGCATCGGCTCAGGCCCTGCCTGCCCTGGGGGCTTTGGGAGAAGTTAGCTGCTTTCTGGGTCTCTCGCAGTGGGGTATGCTGGTGGGTCTGAATCTTTTCTACCTCACAGGGATGTTGTGAGGCTTTGGAAGGTTAGAGGGTGAAGGCCCCTTGAGCTCTTCGTAAGGCAGGTGGAGTAAATATCTGTGAAGATAAAATGTGACACACCCTGCTCTGGGCATAGTCACGGTGGTTGCTTTTGGCCTTTTCTTGGATTGTCCGCCATGCCACAGCGCCAGGAACCTGGAGGCCAACCTGGGGGACTTTCAGGTGTTTGGCATAGAGGTACCAGGCAAACTCCTGCTACACGTGCCCTGAATGAATTGCTGAACCGTAAAGGAAATGGGCCCTGCTTTTTAGGATGTACAAAAGTATGTCTGCATTGATGTCTGTACTGTAAATTTCTAATTTATCACTGTACAAAAAACGACTTTGCTATTTAATTTTTGTATTAAAGGAAAATAAAGTTTTGTTTATTAACCAGTGTGTGATTTGGCATATTCCTGAAGGTGTGTGATAGCCCCTGGAAGGTGTACATACTCTGCAGAGAGAAGTAGAGGTTCCAGTTAGCAGGGCAGATGGAGAACAGATTTCTGAGAGCTGCTTTGTTTCTTTTCTGCTGGTCCTTTTTCCCGTTTGGGATTTCTCCTGGGTCAGCTAATCCCCACAAACCAAGGTCAACAGAATTTATCACTACTGTGGTCATCAGTAACACTCAAGTAACTCATGGTCACGGGGTGCCTGGGACATGACTGTGTTTCTCAAGCTGTTATCCTGATGATCTCTTTTTGGCATTTTCAATATGGATGGCCATCTTTACCTTGCAAGTCCCCTTGACTTAATATGGGTGACCTAAAAAATGTTTTCCATTACTGTTAGAGTTTCAGACCTCTTAAAAAGGGAAATGGGAGCTTTTTTTTTTTTAACATCAGTTTTTTTTTTTTTTTTTTCTGGCTACACAATGATTCTTCTGTGTAATAGACATGAGACTATATCACATCAGTCAGGAAAATGTCTTTTTAGCTCATTTTATAAGTTGGGTGGTCTGTATCTCCATATTCAGAAAAATCGGACAAAGCAAATTCAAAGCAATTATCAGGACACTATCATGGGAGCCAATAATACTATGGACCACACAGACAGAGGGAACGAGCAACTGCCATTGGAGACGTCTGGATATTCCAGATGAGGTCAGCCCTCTTGGTTTGCTACCCTTTAACTTCGTTTAAATACCACCCTCTTTGGGGATGAGTGAAAAGCCCAGTGAACAAGGATCTGCAATACTCCTCTTCTTATCTGGAGATTGCTATTGTACTTTTATCTCAAATCCTAAATGAAGAGAGGCATATAATTTAAATTCTCTTCCCTGTAAGACAGGCTGTGTTTCTCATTCTATTACCTACTCATTAAGTAGTTATGAAGTTAAGGAAAAGTCAACACAATCTGGAATGAATTCATAATAATCCCTTGCACTTGTAGGAACACTTTCCCAATAGAAAATGCTTTCATTTGTATGATTTTATTTTATTCTCCTGGCATTTCTGAAGTAGGGTAAGCATTGTCTTGCTTTAGAGAGAGAAACCAAGACTTAGAGAGGGCAAGGGGACCCCCAACGAGGAGGTAGTAGGTTGGGCAACCAGGTCTTATGCCTAGCTCAGTGCTTTTTTTTTTTTTTTTTTTTAATGTTTATTTTCATTTACTTGAAAGGGGGACGGGATGAAAGTGGACAGGGGAGAGATTTTCCATCCATTGGTTTACTTCTCAAATGCCGTTAGCATCCAGGGCTGGGCCAGGCCCAAAACTAGGAGCCTGGAACTCCATCTGAATCTTTTCCGTGGGTGGCAGAGCTCAAGGACTTGAGACAACATCTGCTGCTTCCCCAGGTGCGATAGCTGGAAGCTGGACTGGAAGCCAAGGTGTTGGGGCTTGAACAGTATTCTACCATGGGATGAGGGTGTCCCTGCTGATGGCTTAACCTACTGAATTGTTTTGGTTTTTTTATTATTATTATTATTTTACACAGTCTTTGTTTTGTTTTACACTCCTTGGTTGCATTTTGTTCCACTCAGAATAGATGTTTTGAAGTCCTATCCCTTGATACCTTTAAATAGGAAATAGTGTTTTTTAGAAACAGGGTCTTTGCAGATGCAGTCAAGTTTAAAATGAGCTCATACTACATTAGGGTGAGCCCCATTCCATTAACTGATACCATTATAAGAGGGAAATTTAGAAAAGACACAGGGGAGAAGTACCATGTGAAGGCGGAGACAGCAGTTAGCAGCTGCTCAAGCAGCTAACACCCAGGATTGCTGGCTACCTCTCAAAAGTAGCAGACAGGCATGGAAGATTCTTCCCCAGAGCCTCCAGGATGAACCAACTTCCTTTTCAGATTTCTAGCCTGCAGAATTGTGGAAGATAATTTCTGTTGTCTTAAGCTACCCAGTTTGTGATCATTTGTTGTGGTAGCCCTAGGAAACTAATACATTCTCTATCCCTTTGATTTCTTTAAGTCAAGTGGATCATTAGGAGGACGCAAATGCTTTAGGCAGGCACTGCTTTTTTTTTTTTTTTTTTTTTTTTTGACAGGCAGAGTGGACAGTGAGAGAGAGAGACAGAGAAAAAGGTCTTCCTTTGCCGTTGGTTCACCCTCCAATGGCCGCCACAGCCGGCGCGCTGCGGCCGGCGCACCGCGCTGATCCAATGGCAGGAGCCAGGAGCCAGGAGCCAGGTGCTTTTCCTGGTCTCCCATGGGGTGCAGGGCCCAAGCACCTGGGCCATCCTCCACTGCACTCCTGGGCCACAGCAGAGAGCTGGCCTGGAAGAGGGGCAACCGGGACAGAATCCGGCGCCCCAACCGGGATTAGAACCCGGTGTGCCGGCGCCACTAGGCGGAGGATTAGCCTAGTGAGCCGCGGCGCCGGCCAGGCACTGCTTTCAATAACAAGACCTGGCCATGAGCTTTTTGAAGGATTATATGAATGTAATTAATATAGTAAATTTCTTTATCTGTAAATTGGACACCTCTAGAGAAAACCCCATGATGCCTACACTACTGATTTGAACTGGTCTTAACTGGTTTCCTAGCCGCAATGGGAGCTCTGTGTACAGGGCGAGGACCCTAACTGGAATGTGGCCCAAGGGTTTTAGCATTTCTGTCCTGAGAACCGATTTTTCTCTTTCCCATTTTAGCTTTCACATGCAATCATAATTTTAAAGTTGAGCTGACTCTTGACTGAAGAGGTCAGCCTTGGCCTTCTGTTTTTAGAGGTTCCGTGAACAGAAATAAACCATACTGGGATAAAGGCTTTGTCCTCTCCTCCGTTTTCCTTCACAATACAGCTGAGTTGGTAGGACTAGGAAGGTTTCACTGAATGTTTTGAAAATGTGTTGGACCTCCAAAGGTTTAGTCTGTATAGTTTTCCAAAGGGACCTTGAGCCTGCTTGAAATTCCTAGAATCACCCTTTTTCTTTCAATCTTTTTCATAGTAAGGCTAAGGGAGCCCATGGATTCAGCTGCCCTCTTTTTGGGGAATCTTTAGAGAGAGCGCTCCTATTTTCTGGCTTAGTCTGAAATACCTGTGAAGACTAGAGCTGGGTAGAGCCCATGCTAGGAGTTGAGAACTCAGCGTGGATCTGTCTTGTGAATGGCAGAAACCCAATCACTTGAGCCATCACCTGCTGCTTCCTATGGTTCATATTAGCGGGAAGCTGGAATCAGGAACCAGAGCCGGGAGTTGAACTCCTGTGCTCTGTTATGGGACATGGGACATGGGTATCTTAACCAGTGCCTTAGCTGCTGCTAGATTAAATACTTGCTCCTTATTTGCCCTCTTGGCAAAGGATTCCAACTTCTCAAGTTTCCAGGGAGAAAGAATAGAAAGTTAAATGTGTTACATTTCCCGTCAGTGGCCCTCCATGGTTTGCTATAAGCACCCAATCCTCTTTTTACCTAAGAATGTGCTTAATCTCTTAGGTAGCCCACATAATCGATCCATGCCTTTCTTTTTAAGAGATTAAATGACTGGTTTTCTAAATTTCCTAAAATTCCTGGGGATTGCAGCATTTCACTCAATATGAAGTAAATGGGTAGAATATAAAGCAATGAGATGGAATTGATAAGTCACAGTTTTCTGTGTTTCTAGTTCATCATTTTCCTCTCACCCCCTCGGTTTTGCATTTTTCGTGCTTTGCCTGGAATGCGTTTTCCCCTTTTTTTCAGGTAGGTTATGTGTGTTCCTCCTGCATGATCATGATCATGAAAGGCCTGTGTATCTCTTCTGGGAACACTTCCCTGACCTCCTGCTTGCCACTCCTCATAGGAAATTGAAAGCTCTGTGCTCTCACCTCTGGCAGCCTTCACTGCACTGCGACGGTCTGTGCGTGCTTCCATTGCCACACTAGACAGCTCCCCGAGCATGACCCTAAGCACACAGAGTTGCCCATCTGTGAGCCTTCGGAGCCCCGCACGGAGTGCCAGCTTCAGGAAGGCAGGAAGGGAGAGAGGAAGCGTGGAAGAGAGAGCGGTAGAGAAGAAGGGAGGAGGAAAGGATGAAGGTGGGATGAAGTGTTACCTTGTTAGGTGGAGACACTTAGGGGCTTTAGTGACAGATGTGGCCAGCAGAGGAAGGGAACCAACACTGACAATGGGAGAACTTTCCTCGGAGAATGTTCTCTAGCCTCAAGGATGTGCTAGAGAACAGTCGTCTCCCTCTCGCGTGGCTTAGTGTGAGTTGTCTCCTGTCCCCTTTTATCTCCTACCTCCCAAAGATACTTGTCTTGAGTCCGCTGTATGTTGAGCACTGGAGTGGGCTGGGGAAAGGGAGTGATTTATAAAAAACCATGAAAGACAAAGTCCAACCGAGAGCTCAAAGTGCGGATGACAAATGGAGAAAGAATTTGGCTGTTATTAACAAGCTTAAAACTCTAAACCTGGAAAAACAAATCCTCTCCTGCTTAGTAAATATTGTTGAAGAGCTGGACGAGGGTCCATCATGTGTTGACCTTGGTCCTGGGGAGGCACAGGAGGGGACACTGAGATGGGGAAGTCATTGCCTTTCCATCAGAAGTCGCCTCGCAATTTGTTCCCCTTCCTCCATTCCCACCGCCTCCCCAAAGAGTCAGTGCTACCAGTGCTGCCACACTATGTGACTTCCCAGCCCAAGTCCCTGGGCCTTGTTGGTTTAGCTCAGATAGGACAGCTTCTGCATACCAAGCATAATGGGAAAACAACTCCTAAGCTGTTGACATCTCCCCAGTTGACCCCAAAAGGACACGTGTGTCTCGTGTGAGTGTGTGAGGAGGACACAGGGAAGAAGGAAGGAGAGACGTGTGAATCCCAGGAACCATGAGTCTGCAGCCTTGGTCTGCCAGTCAGAACCATTCTGAGAATTCAATATGTAAAACAATTAAGATGTACTCATGAGGTGACCTCAGAGGCATTTAACCATCAGACCCAGGCAGCCCTCTCCATCTGAATGTCT